AAAAAAAAAAAAAAAAAAAGACTATGGTTGCTACTGTAGTGGTCTTGCATTATTTCTTTCCTTCCTTCCTTCCATTATTATTATTCAAAATATATTTATTGAATACCTACCAAAGTCTGACCAATATTTTGGGGGCTGAAGAATTAAATGTGATCAAATCAGTGACTGGGTTTTAGAGGCTGGAGAAATGTGTACCTCCCAAAATAAGTATGCTGCAATACAAATGTCATCAGATCTATAAGTCACATATAATATTATGGAAGCAGTAAACTAAAACAGACATTGATTCTGTCTTGGGGTGAGAGGATCATAGTGAGCCAAACCTTGAGAATATAGCTACTTGCTCTGTAAAGAAGGGTGAAGCTATTGTAGGCGATGGAAACATTCTGCTTGCAAAATCACCTAAGGGCTTTCAGTTTTCGTGGAATAAATGGAGAAAGCTATTACAGAAGGACTAGGCCTAGATTTCACAGAGGAATTCTCCTAAATCTTCAAAGATCATATGCTCCCAATGCTACTTATATCATTTTTGAGTATAGAAAAACAAGAAAAGCCACAAGAAAGTTTTGTGAAACAAAAAGTATGTTGTCACCTAAGCCATATAAAGATAGTACAAAAAAGAAACTATAGACCAATCTCACTTATGAATACAGAAGTGAAAATGTAAACCTATTAGCAAACAGAGCCCAAGAACTCATCATAAAAATAAAACATCATGACCAAGTGACATTTATTCCAAAAAGGTAAGGATGGTTCAATATTAGGTAATCTACTAACACAATTTAGATATTTATAAATCTAAGTAGAAAATCATATGATCATCTTCCCTCATCTTCAATCGTCTATGAAGATTGCCTTTGACAAAAATTGGTAACCATTCCTGAACCATTCTTGATTAAAACACTAAAAAAAAAAAAAGAACTGATGATTTTGTCTGATCAGATATATAACATATATATATATATATATATATATATATATATATATATGTATAAACCCATACATGCACACACACACATTGCAGTCCTAAAGCTGGTATATTAGGTATTTTACTTAATGGAGAATACTAGAGGCATTTACAGAAAGGCCAAGAACAAGGCAAGAATGCCCACTAACTCCACTATGATCTAAACATATGTTAGGGTTGGGCACAATGGCTCATACCTATTATCCCACCATTTTGAGAGGCTGAAGTGAGTGGATTACTTGAGGTCAGGAGTTCCAGACCAGCCTGTCCAACATGGCAAAACCCTGTCTCTACTAGAAATACAAAAAATTAGCTGGGCCTGGTGGCGTGTGCCTGTAATCCCAGCTACTGTACTTAGGAGGCTGAGGCAGGAGAATCGCTTGAACCCAGGAGACAGAGGTTGTGGTGAGCCAAGATCTCACCATTGCACTCCAGCCTTGGTGGCAGAATAAGCTTCTGTCTCAAAAAAAAAAAAAAAAAAAAAAAAAAAATTAGAGGCACTATTCCATTCAATCAGATCGAAATATGTTAAAAAAATATGTTAGAGGTACTAATCCGTTCAATCAGATTGGAATAAATAAAAGAGCCATGAGAATTAAAATAGAAGTAAAACTATCTCTATTTACCATTGATATTGTAGTATATCTGGAAAATCCAAGACAATCAATGAAAACACTAACACAATTTTAAAAATCAGTAAGGTAATAGACTATTAAAATACAAAAATCAGAAGCCTTTCTATGCATAAACAATAGCTAGATAATGTAACAGAAGATGAAACTTCAGTTGTATTAGTAGCAAAAAAAGAATCTATTTAATTCTAAGTTTAATAGGAAGTGTGTAGAATTTATATGAGGAAAAATTAATATACTTCTGAAAGATACAAAAGTGGACTTGAATAAGTTTGGAAATTTTTCTCATTTTTGAATAGTCCTCGTAAACGTCACAAAGCTACAATTTATTCCCATCTTAATAAATTTAGCATAATCTCAATAAAAATAACAAAGTTGTTTTTATGGAGCTAGTCAAGTAGATTTTGAAGTTTATATGAAAAAATAAAAATAGCTACAAGAACCTCAAAAAAAAGGAAAATGAGAGGCGACTAGCCTTACTAGATATTTTTTAAGCAGTTTTATTGAGGAATAAATCAATATAAAAAACATGCACTTATTTAATATATACAAGTTTATACATTTGAACATTCACAAACACCTGTGAAACCATCACCATAATTAAGATAATAGACATATTCATCACCTCCACAAGTTTCCTTTTAAACATTATAAAGCTTCCTTGTGCTCCTTTGATGGTTTCTCATGTGTGCATGCAGGTATGGTAAGAACGCTTAATGCAAGCTCTATCCCTTTATCAAATACCTTGCCAGATATTAAAACATACTATAAAGCTTCTAGAATTAAAACAGTGTGGTATTGATTCATGAGTACATAGCTCAATGGAAGTGAATAGAAAGCTCACAAATAGACAAAAGTGTATATGAAAATGTAGTAATGAAAAAGACATTATCCCATTGGAATGTCATAAAGCAAGAAAGTACAAAAAAAGTGGGTATATTCAAAAAGAACACAGGTAGATCTGGTAGGTGCTCAAATTGGTCAAAATAGGGATAATTTTAGCATCAACAGGAATTATGATGTTAATAGATTATGGTACATAGAAGATAAAAAAGACCATAGGTTATCAAAAATACATGAA